GGGTCACCAAGGTCAGTGATGGGGTGTAGGTGCTCTTCCGTTTTAGTCAGCTGCAGGAGTTTTACATGTTGAACTAGTTTATAATTTGTATTCATAAAATCTTGATGAGATAATATGTTCCATGATCCACAAGCAGAACTAGACAACAAAAGCAACTTTTATTGAAATGATAGTTCCAGACTCTTGGTGGGTTAAGGTGCTGAGGGGTTAAGAGTAGAATCTAAATAAATGATGGCTATAGCTTCAATGTCGATGTAATTTTTCACTAGATACTATTTTTGGGGCCCTTCCTATGCGTTGGGAGCTCTGGTACTGTGATCTGTAGGAAACTGCACTGGTAACCCTTAGCGGACACCTCTCTCTGGTAGTTTGAGTCCCTAATGGCTCTGGGTGAGAAAGATGGTCAGTCTCCTCTACGGTGAGATACAACCTCGGAAAACCTTCTGGAGGGTCAGCTATGAGTCCGTTCCAACTTGATGGCAGGGAGTTTGAGTTTGATTTAAATATATTAGAGATTTAAGTGCTTTACTAGAAACTCCTCTAATTCTTAGGCCAACCCTAGAAGATTTAAACTATTATTTATCTCTGTCTTATAGCTACAAAAACTAAAGTGTGAAGATGTCAGACTTGGTCCAAATTCACACACACATCTGTAGTCAGTGAACAAGGATTTGGACTTGGTTTATGGCAATACTGGGTCTGAGTTCTTAAACACTACACTGTTGATAGATGCAGACTGAGGATGCAGGATAGAGATAAAAAGTACCAAGTTGTACTTTTTACTGCTAGGTCACAGTAAAGCACATGCAGTAAAGTTCTGATGGAAAACCCTTGCATTATTTGTTAGGGCTCTCTGGCGGTATACGGTATATGTAGCTGTATTGCTAACCCAAAAGCTTCACCTCTGGTGGTTCAAATCCACTCAGCGGCTCTGAAGGAAGACAGACTATCTTCTCTTTTGCAATTTGAATCCAAAGAAACCCAACGGAAACTCAGCTGTGAGAAGGTTCTGATTCAAAGGCAATGAATGAGTTTGAGGTTTCCGTTTTAGGTTTTGTCAAAGCCGATTTGTTAGCTGTTCTGTGCACTTATTCAAACTTTGGAAAATTTTACTTACGGTTATTTTTGAAAAAAACTCCACCATAGAAGCATCTGCTTTCTCTGACGGAACCATCCTTCAAGACCCAGCTAAATAAAATTCTGTTGTGAGTCCTTTCCACATTTACTAAGATGTCCCATCTTTGCCTCATTTCTTCTCCTTAAAATAATAGCTGACATTTTTATTGGGCCTTCGTGCGGTTCACACCTTTAAACTCTTGTTTCTAACCAAAAGACTGGAGGTTCAAATATACAGAGTTTTCTTAGAAGACAGAGCTATGGTTCTACTTTCTAAAGATCAGTCATTGAAATCACTTGATAGCACATTTTGCTCTGACAGATATGGGAATGTCAGGAGTTGGAATGGATACAATGGAAACTTTCTCTCTCCCTCAATATTGAATTGAACATCTTGTAAGTACTTCATTATTTTATCTCCTTATAACAACCCTAGGCGATGGCTATCATTATACGCATTTTACAAAGAAAGAGAGTGGTATATTGTGAGGTTAAGTAACTAGTTTGACATCGTGTAGTTAAAAAGTAACAGAACCAGTCTGCAAATCCCAGGAGTCTGACTCCAGAGCTGGATCTTTGTAACTACAAAGCTATCTGCCTGCTTTGTCACATCGATTCAATTATCTGTGGCCCTTGTCTGACCCTTTCTGAAGAACTCATTTAAAATATTAACAGTGTCTTTCCTGCCAGCTAGGCGCTCTTTTAGTGGAGGCAAGTTACTCCCAATCTAGGCAAAGGGTGGAGGGAAAAGTTTTTCAGAAAGTGGGAACAGCCTGAAAGTCAGAGGGAGCACAATCTTTTCCAGAACATTCCTGTGGTGGGAGAGTAGAGTTCCTCACTAGACGGGAAAATGAGCCACGAGGCAGTGTCCAGACCACAAAGGTTCTCCAAAGCTTACAAAGAGTTTGGGTCGCATTTTATTGTGAAGATAACGGAAGTCACTAAAAGGTTTTAAGAAACTTGGAAAATGTTGATTTAAACTTGAGTTATTTACATACCTACTGTATTCTACTATTGCTATACTATACTCAACTGCACAAAGTAGGGGCAGTAAAGGAGGTAACCAGCCAGAATCTTTGTGTTCAAAGGTTCTCATTCAAGAAGGTTTTTTTTTTGAAGAATAACAATGAAAGACATTGGGGAGAAGAAACCGATAAAACTTAACACTTTATTATTATCATCTTAGAAGGAATTCACCAAAGGCTTCATATTATGCTATGGCATCTTTAATTATAAAAATAAGCAAATAAAATAACTTGCATCTGTCATTACCATGATATGTTTCATAACCTTTATATGCACATGGAGCTTAAAAATGTAATTTAACAATAAATAATGACATATACCAGATATGCTCACTGTTTATTCCAGTACTCAGCCAAAAAACCCTAAATATCATTTAAATTATAAATACACAATGCAAATATAATGGCACAAACATATCTAAAGTGCAACCAAATCACAATAGAAGAATCATGCAAACTGGTCTAGGTCAGCCCCCAAATCACTCTGTGCAGAAAACACAAGAGGAAGCTTTGGAAGTTCCAGGGGGAGTTGGAGGGAGAGGGATGAGGAAAAGAGAAGCAAAAAACTAGCAACATTGTGAGAACTGCTTCTTTCCATGTGTGTAGATATATGTATTATAGATACATATATAAATATCATTGTGGGACATTAAAGGGGGGGTGTACCACGATTCGAAGAAGTCATAGAAAAAAAGAGAATCCACGGGACTGAAGTAAGAGAGACTTGTGCTAGGAATACTCACGAGCGAATTGTTGCATCGGGGGCCTGGCTTATTTTGCGGGTTTGCGAAATGGACACAACACACAAACTTTAATAGCTTTTCTGGTTCAGAGAAGTCAGCCTTGCCTGGGAGTGGAGGGTGGGGTCGAGGAGTGGGAGAGTCAACTTAGAATATGGTCTACCTGATTTCCAAGAGGCTAAGGCAGTGTCCATATGTTTGGGGACCTGGGGGCTAGGACAGTTCTGAGTATAAAAATGCCCTTAACAATCTGACGTCAGCACGCTTAGAGGCTGTGTGGGAACAAAGGCAGCCACGTCTGTGCTGCTGCTGCTGTTGCTGTTGCTGCTGCTGCAGGCGCTCTTGGTCCTTGAGCAGCACGTTACTGGTTTTAAAGGCTTTATGGTAAAGTTGTATTGCTTTTTCATTTTATGTTTTCTGGAGATGTGCCCTTCCTCCTCCCACCAGGGTCCCTATCACTAGATTTGGTCAAATCTTGAGTTTAGCCTAGTGAGAGTCAAGCACCAATAGTTTCTACCTAAGCAAGTTTGGAGTGGCCCCTACAGTCCTACCCCTCCTCCCTCTTCCTCTCTCAACATTGACCTTTAGTGGGTAGTGACACTCATAAGGGACTGTTGGGTTCAAGGACAATGACCCTGAGAAACTACTGTTGTTCATAGATAGGTTACTCATTTGGCTTTGGTGGTTGCCATCTTGTAAACATCACGGCAAAAACGATCAAACCACCAGCTCTTTTTTATTTTTTTTCCCTCTTTCTGGTTTTTGCAATCCTACAGAGATGGCCCAGCTGCCAGGACTACTTTGGCAGGCAGAGTGCTACAAGACAAAAATGCAAGAGGGGTCTGTTAAGGCTGGACAGCCCAGGATTTATTTATACCCATTCAGCCCCAAGTCCCCCGAACTAAAGACCCAAAGGCTGATTGACTCATTCCTGATTGACTTAAGGGAAGCCTCCAGCCCTGTGATCATTTTTCTCAGGGTTCTGGTTGAAATGTGGCAAATTAGGAACTGCCACGTCCCACAGTATAGGCTTTATCACATCATAAGTGATCCAAGCCAAAAGGGATGCTCTTTTAGGTTCTTATCATTCCCAGTTGGATGTGACAAAATATTTCAGGATAGGTCTCAGTCAAGAGTAGCCTCTGGGTTAAGGTGGGCTGGGAGATACACATTTTACCTGGGGTCCTTCAGATAAACCTGTTGGTTTTTCCTATCTTATACAGGCCCATCTTAAGTTTCGATGTTGAGTAAAACTACTTCTACCCTCTTAGTTATAAAAAAGGCCACAAGGAGCATTTATGTGGATATCTGGAAGTGAGATAGTTATTCCATTCCCAGAAAAAAGAAAAATAAAGCTAAGTTACAAAACTAAATCTATATGCAATAAAGTTATTATATACTGCTTTGTTTAAGCAGAGTCCTCTGGAATTTATGTACAGTACATTAGTTTTCAGCTATTTATATTCCACAGTTAGACCTTAAGATTCTCTGGTTTTAAGACAATTGTTAAAGATACTTTTAAAGCTCTGAGCAGTTACAGTACATAAAGATGTTAGCTTTTTGTTTTTCACTAGATGCAAGAAGATGCAGGCTCCAAGTCTGGGTGGAGAGCCAGGCTCGAGCAATTTGGTAAATGTGTTGGAAAGGAAATTCGACATTGGAGGATCAAGACCATAAGACACTAGCTCATAAGAGATCAAGAATTCAAACATGACATTCATATTCGTCCATGGCCAGCACAGATTCATAACACGAATTCCATATAGCATCTTTATGAGCTCGTAAGACATGCATTTAAATTAAGTTGTTTCTTATCCGCTAACTCTACTGAGGCAACCATTCTAAAGGGCTCCACATCTTCAAATTACAATGACTTGGGAATTACATGAATGTTTTGGGTTTGAGGGGAGTTTGAGGGCAACTGGGAAAGGATGGGGAAAAGGGAAGGGATTCCAGAGGAGAGGCAGGAAGGTAACATGTGTTCTTCTGTGGGAATGCTGCCATGGCAGAATGTTGAGAGATTGATTATAGAAGCCTAGTTTCATGCAAATTTCTTTATGGGGCATAGAAAATAGGAACTACTTTAAAAAAATCAAACCAGGCACAGTACACTTAAAGTTGGTGTATTAACACCCCTAAAACGATACTAGTTTGGTGAGGTTGCGAACATCTCTCCTTGGTTAGGCACTCTCGTGTGAGGTGCGTTTTGTGTGAGAGGGAGCGGTCCCCTCACCTCGGAGGTTCCTGAGGAGGACTTTCAGCTTCTGGGGCTCGTTGGTGCGCCTCCGGTTGAAGTCAGCTCGTGGGTGTGGTTGGGCACAGTGGTCTGTCTGCAGGATATGGAAGAGGCTGGCCATGTTGGGCCCAATTTTCTCCATCAGGCTATCTCTGATCGTGCTGACTGTGTCTTCGTCACATTCCAGTAGACTTCGGACAAGTCTGTTATAGTATCTGCATTGGGAGAGAAGACAATGCTGTTATCATCCAGTGGGATCAAGAGCAGACTCCAAAGATCTAGAGAACGCGGATCCCCAGCAGCCAGAGCAGGCAACGAGAAATGGTTTGCCAACTGAAGATTGCTGTTATAGTCCTTGCTCCCTATACAGTGTCTTCTTAGTTTGAGTGTATGTGCTTCTACAATACCCTGCAATAGCTTCATGCCTACAACTCAGGAGACCTTGAACTTAGGTTCTTCTGTAGAGTTCATGTCATACTTTTACTAGTGGATCAGCCGCTGTGTCTAATACATTTAGAAAGAATGAATTCATGGAGCTAAATGGAGACAATGTAGTAACAGCCAATGTGGGAAAGCTGAAATGACTTGTCCAAAGGCGTCAGGTTGATTGTTGCTGTTACATCGAATTGAGTACAACTCACAGCAACTCTATGAATCCTGTCCTGTCCTGTGCCATCCTTACAGTCTCTTAGTGGTATAGAATGAGATAAGCTCAACACGGAACACTTGTATTAATAGCCATTACACATAGATATGCAATTATTTTGATGCCTCTTTGAATTCCTTTACCTTGGCTGTACCTTTGTAGGTGCATGTGCACATGCGTGCCTATTCCGACTAAACAAACCTTTCAAAGACAGGATTCTTGTCTTCTATGCATTCTGAATTTTTCTGCTAAATTCAGTTTCCATACCGTACACTCAGCCAGTCCTCATAAACAGTGGTAATTTACCATATTTTCAGTCTCCCTACTAAAGTTTAGTATAGTCAAAGGGTCAAAATGCCAGGCAGTAAGAAAAATGAAATTGAAATACAGAGGCTCGTTAAGGGTTCTCCAGGAACTCCATGAAACCTGTCCTATTTCCCTTCTTTGAATTTAATAAATATATACAGATTAGCATGGGATGGCTTTGTTTCCTTAATTAGACTAGAAACTCCTTGAAGGTAATTTGTGAAAGAAAAGCAATTTACACCCTTATTTCTTTATATCTTTTATAGTACTACATACTATACTATGCATAGTGTTATATTAGCGCCTCTCATTAGATAGAAAGAGAATTGATGCTTTTGAGCTGTGGTGCTGGAGAAGAGTGTCGAATATACCATGGACTGCTAGGAGAACAAACAGGTTTGTCTTGGAGAGGGTGAAACCAGGCTGCTCCTTGGAGGCAAATATTCTGAAGCTTCATCTGACATACTAGGGCATGTTGCAAGGAGGGACATCCTGTTTGGGACAGTGGAGGGACAGCACAAGAGAGGAAGACCCTCGATGAGAAGGATTGATTCAGTGACTGGGATAATGGGAGTAAATGTGTCAGAGACAGTGAGGTTGCCACAGGATAGAGCAGGGTTTAGGGCTCTTGTGCATAGGGTCGCTATGAGTTGCAAGTAACTCGACTGCACATAACAACAACATTAGAATCCTTGGTTTATTTTGGAGTCTCTAAAGAAATGGCTATTAAAAATGTAATTCTCTCTAGTATATCATGATTTCTCATGGGCATTGTAAATTTAGGAACCCTGGTGGTGCAGTGGGTAAATAGTCAACTGTTGACTGAAAGATTTGTGGTTTGAGGCCACCAACTGCTTTCTGGGAAAAAGATACAGGGTCCTCTTTCATCAAGGTGCTAAGAATCTTTGATACAATTTTTCAAACATCTTAGTGCATAAGGAGTTATGGTTCAGAAAGAATTATATGGTCTAATAATTAGATCATGAAAGATGTTGGCCCTGTTTTTTGGGAAGGTAGTTTGGGTATTTTCCAGTCTGAGTTGAGAAAGCTTTGCTCCATTTTGGAGAGGCAGTTGTCAAAAATCCTTAGTTTCGTGTTGACTAATAGGAGACTCTGATGACAGTGACCTGCAGTATCTATCTGGAGACCTCTTCTCAGAAGAGCTTGAGGATCTCTGGGGTCACAAATCTTCTGTTTATTTTTAACTCATCATCTGAGCACAAGATTAAACATCTTTCCAGAGATTCTTTCAGGAATGCCACGTCAATCTGGTGGAGTATGATAAGAAAGCAAATGGTCACCTTTCTGTGGGTGGAAAGAGAAGCACTGTGTCTGGGTCCTTAACAGGCCCTGCCTATACCCTTCCTATGTGAGGATTATATCCAGGTGTTGTTAAATTTGGGATTCTCTGGCACAGAAGAACATTTTCCAACCCTTTGGAATTATAAGGTACACAAGTCAAAGCAGATCTCCCCTGGATAGGGAGATGGGGACAAAACTAGTGGTGGAAAACCTGAGAATAATCTATACCAACAGCTGCAGACACTTACACACCCACATGATTCTTCCTGGCCCTCAGTTCTGGGACCAGGGTTCTCTGAATCTTTGTCTATTTTGGAGACTGACTATATTCTAGAGGATAAGGTTTCTGATAGTTTCGTTACACTCCAAAAGGATTTTTTTTTAAATTCAGCATCTTAAACAAACTATCCACATCATATGAGCCTTCCATGGCCTTGAAAATGAGGTCTTTCCTCAGATAAGAACACCAAAAGCACTCATCACTAAGAAAATGAAGCTTCTGTAGCTAACCTTGCCTCTTAGGACCAAAACTCTCCCACTGGCCTGCTTCATGGAGGGACCGACTATCTTTATCTGCCTTCACTTCTGCCTTCCCTAGCTCAGCTATGACACCTGATTGTGTGGCATTGTGTTTTGTTTTATAGTAATGATCCATGCCAGCCTGACAGTTCTCAGTGACCCTCCAAAATCCATCCTTACCTTGCTTCCTTGACAGAGCTTTGTTAACTCAAGAAAGACAGACCAAGTGAGGTCCTGGGAACAGGAGGAAAGACCATGGCTCCACAAATAGCTCAACCCAGCATGCAAAACTTTTCAAGTCATTTTTGGTTCAGCACAATTTGACAGGATGAGGAAAAAGTTAATTCTACATCTATGAATTGAGGGCTGGGGTATGGCATTTACTTTGGGATTGTATTAGTCAATGAGGCAGCCCTTCCTTACAAGTCACTTAAGTGAGATGGAATCTTTATGGAATTCCACCTCCAGGAAAGGCTGATTTAATAACTGTCACATATTAATGAACACTTTAATTGCATTAAGTCCTATTGCTACTATAGTTATTGGTAACACATAGCTCACATGGCTTTTCTTTAAGAGGAGAATGCAAACAAATTCTTGATCATCATGAGATATATATGTATATATTCAATTGTGTGTGGTAGTCTATTTTTGCCTTATGGATATTTCTGGCAGGGTTTGTTAGCTGCCATTTTTTGAAGGAGAAGTCAAATTGCTTGGTCAAGGCCATGTAAATTTTAGATCCAAAGCTGTCATTCACTAGCTGTGTAACCTTCAGCAGTCAACATCAGTCTCCGGGTCTTCATCTTTCAATTAGGAAAATGGAGAACCTGGTCCAGGTAATCTCTCTGCTGATCTCTGGCTGTGAAAAAATGGGTTTCTAGGGGCTTGAGCTATATTATGTTTGGGAAATAGGCTATAAAGGCTGGGTGAGCTAAGTGTTGTCATCATCCAGCCTGGAAGGATTTTTCGAGACTTGTTTCTTTCTTTTTGAAAACTCCATCACTGATTTTCCCCCCTGCTCCTTGGTAAAGAATAAGATCAGATATTTTCCATAGCTACTGTTTCAACCATGCTTACCCAAATACACACATACTGCTTAGGAACGTTCTGTGTGAGGGTTTATAAATAGTCCTTTGTTTCCCTTGATCAATATTATTCTTCTGTTTCCTGTTCTCTATCCATGCCCCAGAGAGTTGGAAGCTTTGTCAGTTTTCCCACCCTGGATCTGGACTGTGCAAACTGCTTCCCCATCCTCACTCTGGGAAGGTGACTGTCCTGCCTCACTGATCAATCGTCTTAGCCCCCTCATGGTTGACTGTGCAGTGTGCAAATTCAGCCAAGGGGAGAATGCTCAGCCTTCCTTTTTCCACTAGGTGCACTTCTCTCATGGAAAATGTCCCTGTTCTGGCTCCCAGTCCGGTCACAGGCTTTGGATTCTCCCAGCTCCAAATCTCATGTTAGATAAGTCACAGGAAGGTGGAATGAACCTGTAACTACTTCCTTTCACAATTCTGTGCCAGTTGGCACCAGCTTAGCGTGTGTCTATGGTGGGACAGAGGCTGGGAAAGCAGGATGTTTCAGGAGAGTGAGGAGCCTAAATAGAGCAAGTCAAGCCCGGCGTGGAACCGGAAATCTCTACAATTCTAAACAGGAATAATATTAGCCTGCTAAAGTGAAATAATTGGAGAAAGGTAAAAGTTGCATGGGAGTTTCTGGCCTTCAAGGATTGGTAATTTTTGTCCCCCACTAACCTTTCCTGGGAGTTTAAATTCCTTAAGATAAAAGAGACAAATAATAAGACTTAAAGATCCTAAAAATAAGAAACCCATTGGAAGAAATTATAGCCTGAATAAAACTCATTTTACCAGTTTTTTTCTTAAATAATTTGGGGCCATCAGTACTACATCTTTTCCTAACACTCTCCTTTCTTGATGGAAGATGTTACATTAGTTGAGATTGAGTGATATTGCTTCAAAATTAGTTACATGTCATATTATAGATACCGAGCTATCATGAGACTCTTAAAGATCAAAACTTAAAGATCAAAAATGATAAATTCATTCCCGCCTTTCCCGCCTCACTCCATGAACATGCTTTTCCTCTAATCCCTATAATAAGACTAAAAAAGTTCTTTCCTTTCCTTAGAATGAAGAGAATCTACAATGATTTATCAAGTTGAATTATTTCCCCTACATACAGCAAAAATCTCCAAAGAATAATTTTAAAACTTTTAAAACAGAAGTCTTATAGACTTCAGGACTATTGGAAAGAAATGGTGGATTCAGTTTTCCTATTCTGAGCCTATTAGTTAGGACTCTATGATATAGTCACTTCTAAAGGCTAGATGAATGACTTTCACAAATCCATGTGCAATGCTGAAGAACCCTGAACAGCAGTTTGGGGAGTTAAAAGTGAAATAGAAGCTTTACAGAGATTTGTATGTGAGAGTCCTTCACCTCTCCCTCAGGAGGAGTTACTTTGCTGTCTTCCAGCTGCACAGATATGTATGTGGCTGTTACCTGTAAGCCACAAAAGAATGTGGCTGTTGCTACTCTCTAAAGGAGGTTGGTAGCACCACCAAGGAAATTCATCGGATAAGTCAATGCTAACTCTTAAGTGGTCAGGTTAATAAGAAGTGTTTGGTCAGGGAGCTCTGGTGGCCTAGTGGCAAGAAGCTGTGCTGCAATCCCAAAGGCATGTGGTTCAAGGCCACCAGCTGCTCCATGGGAGAAGGATGGGCAATCTCCTCCCGTGCGATTAACTGTCTCTGAAAAGCCACCAGAGGGTCAGCTATTGGTTGGTTCCGACCCAATGGTAAGACAAACAACAACAGTGTTTGGTCAGGTTAATAAGAAGATGAGTGTTTAAGAATATATGCGTATTGGCTGGAGAGTCAAAGAATCATACTATTTTGGGACTAGATGCCAACTTTTAAGCTGTGAGACATGTCAGCAGGCTAGGTTATGGCTAAACTTGACCAGGCTGCCCTGTCTTACACTTGCCACACCTTCACCCCAGCTCCATTAGCATCTCTTGACTTGACCACAGATAGGAAAGTTTTATTCTGATGGAGAGTTTTTCCCCAGGCCACGTGCTAGCGCTTTCATTCATTAGGAGCATCACGTGTGGAACTGGTGGGTAAAGAATGAACTGGGGTCCAGGAAAGCATAATGCTCAGACATTACTATTTCAGTGACTTTTAGTCATGTTAGCATCCTGAAATGAGCAGATGGGAATTGTGATTTGGGAATCTATCAGAACATTATTTTAGGACATCTTGGAAGAGAGGAGTGGAATGAGTGGCATAAGACTAGAAGGGAATCATCTTCCACTTTCTGCACAGGAAATCTGAAGCTCAGGGAGATAAGGGGCTTGCTCTGGGCTAACTGTGAAATGCCTCATTGGACTCATTCAAAATAGATGCAGATTTAGAAGTCTGCATTATGACATTTTAACAAGTGATCTTATAAAGGTCAATTATATTGCTGCATTGCCATGATTTCAGGCAAATCTGACGTTTCAAAAGCTTGTTTCCAGAAACTTCATAATTCTCTTCAGGCTTATGGAAAGAAAATTGACAATGAAAACACACAGAGAGATGTTTCAGAGGAAGCTTCTGTGAGATGCATTGAGAGACTTTTCCTATCACAGTAGGGGAAAAAGAAACCACATTCAGGCTGCTGAAGCTGTCATAACCAATCACAAACATATTTTTCCTGCAAAAGCTGAGAAGACTGCAGCTAAAATAGGAGTATGACTGTGGCAATTTTAACCATCTTCCCTGTCTGGCTCCCCACCCCCCACTGCCAGTTGCAAAAATGGTAGACTCCTTTTGTACCTGTTGGAGAAGTGATTGGGAAGCTGCACCACTTCAGTGATGGCTTCCGGGTTCCTCTTGGCGATGCTGCACACATTCAGCTTACTGTAGCACTCCTCTTGCACCTCAGCAATCATCCTCTGGAATGTGGAGCACCTCCGAATGGCGAGGAAGACCTTGGAGGTAACCCCATTGGCGATGCACTTTAAGCTTTCTTTGACAAATGCTTTTCCCTGTCAAGGAAGAGGCAAAGGAGGAGACGCTTAAGTTTGACCAGAGACGACAGGGCATACAATCTGGGGGGCCCTAAAGAGGTTTGCCTTGGCACTGTACCATGGCATCAGCTTGTCCTTGCAATGAAATAACTGTGCCACTGACAAAGATTGAAAAAGTGCCTCTTCTCTCTGAGACTACTGTGAAAATTGAGCTCCACAGAAATGAAACAAGATGACAAAAAAGGAAAGAGATGAACCCTACTCAGCCATCCTACAATTTAAAAATAGCCACAATATGGCTTTGTCTTCTTGGGATTGAATGTTTGACAATTCAACATATAAGCTAGGATGCTGTTCACAGTGAGAACATCTTTGTTGGAAGAACATTTTTATTTACTTTTGAAGAGAAAAAGTCTTTTTGCTCGTCAGCCCTCCCCTATAAGACTAACTCTGTCAGAGGGCTACCGATCATGCATTAGTGTGGGTGGGAAAATGCCTTCTACAGAACTTATTTCCTGGGCCAAAGTGTGTGCATGTGGGTGCGTGTGCTGAGAAGTGGAGAGACTGAGCAGCAGAGCTCCTTTCTTACGAGACTGGTTCATAAGAACAATAGCCTCACACACTGTTCAAGACAAGCTGCAAGCAGGAGCAGGGGTCAAGGTCTTATTACCTGAGTGTCAAATTTAGCAGCGCTGTACAAGAAGGATTTACAGATGTCGTACATCCCATCTGTGTCACAGGTGGAGTTCTCCAGGCATGCAAAAGCCTCACAGCCAACCTGCAGAGCACTGTTGAGGCAGCGAACCACTTCAGCTGGAAGAGACAAATCCATCCAACCAGGTCAATTTTAAGGGCAGCTCAGCAGGAGCAGGTGGGTGCAGAGGTAAAACGTAAGGGAGAGGGAAAGCCAGAGAACTTCTCTTAGAAGTCTGTGATTAGGGACAGTAGATGAACTCCTGGGGAATGTGGGGTAGGGTGAGACGAGGGACAGGCAGTTTCCATTTGGCTTACAAGAACCAGAGAACATTAAGGAAAGAAACCCTGAAGTACACTTCCTCAATTTCCCCATTTTGGTGGTTTGGCAAGATTTGGCTTTATGGACTGTGCATTGGCCTTTCAGCATCTCTGCCTAAGCAACGGTCAGCCCTTGAGACCTGAAAGCTCGGGAAAGATGAAGGCAATAGCTGATGATCAGCTTTAAGAGGTGAGAGGGCAGGGGCTCCATCTGGCTTCCAAAAATTCATTCCAGAAATTTTCTTTCAAATTGTAGAAAGGAATTTGCCAGGAGTCCACATGGAGACTCTTCTGATTGAAGGCATTTAACTTAGCTTCATATTGGCAGGGAAAAAAAATCTCATGTGCCTGTGTTTCCCTTCCACCACTCACTATAGGGAAATGTTTAGAGGTGCTTCTAATCTCTCATATTAACCCCCCCTTTAAAGAGAATCACAGGTGTAGAATAACAAGACTAAGACACCCCTTGTGCAAGACTGGAAGAAAACCGCAAAGAACTTGCATGAGGCTTTCTACATTCTGGATAAGATCTCCCATAAAAGTAATTTCTCTCCTACAGAAGGGGGGTGTTCTGGCAGGCAGCTCAAATGATCTGCAGCCTTCATGCCATAGGATTCTCCTCGGAGATCAAAAGCAGGGTTCAGTTAGGCTTCCCCACCCCCTCCCACCACCCGCAGCCTCTGGGATGTTACAAGTCATTTCCCTAATTATATATTTCCACGGGTTCAAATTATAACTTTGCTTTAAGCAGTTTTAATATGCATTAGGGCTGCTATTGTTTTAAGCAAGCTTGAATTGTGAATCACTGCATCTCTATAGCAACTAAGTACAAAAGGAAGTGAAGCCAATGCCCTCCTCTAGGCAGGGACCTGCACTCTTTCAAGGGGAGCATGGGCTGCAGCATTTTGACACCTGTGATCCCATCTTTGCTGACAGTTAGGGCAAAGAGGGCAGTAATGGAAGAGGAGTGAGTCCATCCTGTCTTTGCTGACAGTTGAGAGGCAGAGGACAGTAATGGAAGAGAAGCGAGTGGAGCAAGAGAAGTTAAAAGGCAGAGGTGTCAATTCATCCTCTTAATGGTTCTTTCCCTTTAGAGGCCAAGATAGTATACAATGAACTGCTCCAGGAGACAAGACTAAAGGGAGACCTTTCCGTGGGAGAATCAGCTGCTGCCTTTCACAAATACTCTTTCTTAAGGGGCTCTATGGCTAGGGGTTGCACCAGTGATTGAATGGAGCCTGGGCGCTGGGAGTGAGGGAAGGAAGCATGGTGGTGGTGGGATGTGTAGAGTTTTCTCCCTGGATTTGTCATACTTGAGGGCTTTGGTTCTGTAAATCAACCTGTAAAGAGAGTTTGTCTGTGTGTCCTTAACTGAGGCAGGGATGTCAAGTTCAAGGATCTTAGGATAAGAGGGGCAGCAATAAACAAGCTATCTCTCCCACCTTAAGATCAGCTTCTGGGAAGTATAGAGAGCGCTTTGAAGCATGCCAACATCCAAGCCTTTCCCCCGCCCCCTCCCCCCAAGAGGGTACGTGCCAGATTTCAGGCAATCAGGCTAGGCTTATGCAATGAAATACCCTCAGCAGAGCACCCAGCTTCTTCGTTAGTTGCATGCAATTTATTAAACAAAGGAGCTCCACTTCCTAAGGCTATTGGATTACACCGGCAGTTTATTGCCATCAGGCATGAAGCACATTTATTATCAAGATCAGCCGTCACAGACACAGTTGCAAAAGCGAGAGGCAAATGAGGACAGCTCTTTGGGGGAGAAACCGGTCCTGGATTTGCTGCTTACCTGAGTTCTGAGCTGCCACCCGGGATTTCCTGGGGCTCACAGAGTCATTCTGCTCCGCCTCATGGGTTGCTGAAACACTGATTACCAGCACCAGAAGCACTGCTGAGTTTTGGAGCATTCTCTGAGAAGTTTTCGCTAAGTTGTTGGGGTTTTTTTCCTCCCCCCCCTTTCCTCTTTCCCTCTCCTGGCTTGAGTGAAGATGTGGATCTGGATACACTGAAGGCTTAGGTGAGGATTTGATGAGGATTTTTTTGTTGCTGTGGTTGCTGTTCCTTCTGACGCTTCTGCTGCTGCTGCTGCTTTTCCTGCTGCTGCTGCTGCTGGTGGTGATGGTGGTGGTGGTGATGGTTGTGGTGGTGGTGGTGGTGCTGGTGCTGGTGCTGGTGCTGGTTCTGCTGTTGCTGCTTGCTGCTGCTGCAGTCACTGCTTCTTGCACCTCTGGCTTTTGCAAACTGGGGGCCCAAGAGCTGCACCCAGGGATTTTATAGCCGTTCTTATCGGTCCTCTGGATCAGGGACCAATCAGATCTCTCAGCTGGTCTGATCAGCCAATAGGAGGGCACACTCATTCAGCTGGAGCTTTTTGACTTCTTAGAAATATTTTTCCAGCAAATTAAAAGTACCTGCTGGCAATGTTTTAAGTGTATATGAATGTGTGTGCACAGATGTGTGAAAAAGCTATTTTCATAGAATTAGACATAACATCCAATTGATAAAACAATAAGAAAATGGTATGAAAATCTCTCCAAGGGGCTTTTTGAAATAAGTCCGCCCCCTGTCGCCCCTCAGAGGAGTTAGTTGGGGGAATGGGTGGCATAGGTAGCATGAGAAGGAGGTCATCACTTTGGAGACCAAGTCAATCTAACCGTGGCAGTGTTACTCTTCATTTTAACAGCATGCTCTTTGTATTGTATGCTACATACACTGTACCGCCTGTGTTTGCTTTTTTTCTCTCTGCAGGTTTGTATGCACAGATATATGGTATATTTTGTTGCTGAGTTCTCACACACATATGGGAGCCATTTAGGAGGCAAATACAGGACTCTGCTGGATAGAAAAATGGCAACTCTGAGCTGGGGCCCCAGTTCTCATAGGACTTCATTCTATAGGCATGGTCAAGTCCCCTTACCTTGCTGTACCTCTGCTTGCCAATCTATAAAGTGCCAAAGTTGAACGCCAGCATTTCTTTTACCTCTGAAACAATGTCATTACTCAGCAATACAAACTTGCTTGGATTCCATTTCTTCAGTTACTGGCAGAACTGCAAAGATTGCATCCCTACACACACCACACTCAACAGGGAGACATCACGAATACCTGAAAAAGAATAAAATATGTATTAAAGCCAGGCAACTCCGTAGTCATGTTGAAATAATCAGTTGACCAAACAAGAATAAACCTGCTGGGTGAACGGGTATATGTCTTGGGGGGCAGGGGTGGGTCCAAGTGGGAAGAAAGGGAGGAACCCAAAATATGTGTGAGAAAGAGAAAACACTTAATGGGGAAAATTGCAATGGAATCCTGAATCAAGCCGGGTGGACTATAAGCATCATTGAAGTTTGTCCCTGACTTGTGAAGATGACTGGGGAATCAAGAGAAGGCTTCTTAGAGTGTAGAGGTGGTCACTAAGAGCTAGCAAGAGAGGCGAAGAGTAAGAAATAAAATCTCTTATGTTTTTGTGTAGAGGTAAGAAAGATATTGGTGACGTGTACAGACAGGGGCAGGAAGATCTAGCAAAGAAGCGGAGCCAGTGGTTTCCATTTAAATTCCGAAGCCTCACATAAAAGTTGAAAGGAGGGCGCCAACTCTATTAACTGCCAAGTGAGCCAATGATCAGCTTGTACATGTAGGGAGAGTGGGTTTGATGGGTGATTATAGCTCTCTTGCAAACAAAAAGGATGCTTTCTTATTCATATACTTACATTGTGACAAAGATACAGGTAGCAAAAAACTTTGCCATTTTATCAAGCCAAAAAAAAATGTTATTTAGAAACGTTTAACTCTGCTGAAGGAATAAAGGAAAGAAGTAAATATTTTGTTGTTGTTGTTTTTTAAACAGCAAAGAGGGAGGGTACAACTTTTATAGAAATGGATGTATTTCAATTCAGATGAGCTGAATAATACCAGTATTTACAGAATATCAGGTTATAGCTTCTTTGGGACTGGATGTTAAAGGGATTGGGGAAGACAAAAAAGAAGAGATACAGAAAAAAGAAATAGAGGATAATGATTCTTGTCCTAGAATTATTTGTAGTCAAGCTGACATAATGACCAAAGTCATTTATTTTTCCTTAAGCTTCTAAATATCAGGACGTTTTGTGATAAGTTATGACAATAGTCAGCATTGACAAGAACGTAGGAGAAGTGTGCATGGAAGGAGCTTCAGAAAAGAAGTGATAAGAGATGAAGATGTAAGCCAGTGTTAATTGCTTTTGAAGAATTTAGACAAAAGCTGCGATATTTCATTTCTTAAAAAGTTTTTGTTCTGGAAAGCTCAGAGGTGTTTCATTGCCTTTGGCAGGAGTGGTAGACATATGGTAATAAAATATAGCAGTTTAGAGTTCTTCAGAAAGAGAAGAAGGGGACAGATGCAGATTCTTCCTGAGGATCTTGATTTCTATTCCTTAGTGTTCTCTATCTGCATGGCTGTTTTCCCATTGTTACAGGTTGTGCATTTGTTTCTGCTGTTTTGTTTTTGTCCATCTACTGGCCGCAAAGGGGTTTGATTTGCCTCCCAGCAGTCAGCATTTGTTTGCCAATTCTCAGTGCGTTCTCCAGAACATGATGTCCTACAAGTGTCAGACTATGTTTTGTATTATTTTCTAATGTTGATTTATTGTCCCCTCGTTTACTTCACTCATTTACTGTCATGTGGCAAGAGGTTCATCATAAAGTGTACAAAGTGTCTCACAATAGAATTTGAAGAAGTCCAAAAGGAGTCAGCCACAGTGGACTTAATATAATTTACTGGAGCATCAATCATTTGACAATATCACGAGAGAAAGCTGAAGTCGAAGGAGAAATATCTAATGTAAAGCTTCTCCCCAGGTCCTTGTTGGCGGATATACAAATGTCCGCCTCACCCATTCATACTTGAGAAGGTCCCTTTCTTACATGACTGCATTTGGGTCCTCACTTGCGTGAACAAGTTCTTGTTCAGTAATTCTGCACTTTAACACAAAGTCAGAAACTGCCTGCTTACCAGAGATGCTAGCCAGTCCTGTCAATGAAACATCATAGCTGATACAGGGGAAGGGACAGTTCTGGTTTGCACTTTAATTTGATACCAACCCAAAACCAAGCCCCTGCTGTGGAGTTGTCTCCTCCTCGTGTGGCAACCCTCCCCTGAGGTCCAATCTCTTCCCATGGAGTAGCTGATGGTCTCAGAATGCCTACCTTTCAGTTAGCAGCCCAACAAGTGACCTTGTGCCCCACACGCCAGAGGTCCGTGGACTTTGCTGCAGTAATGGTGAAAGGTTAGGCCCTCGTGGTGTGATATTTGATTCTTTCATAACATTCTGGAATTTGCATTTTAGAGTGCCAACTACAGGAACCGTTGTGTTTTTGGAAGATCTTTGAATGCTCTTCGTGATGGTTTGGAGGAAGAAAGGAATGGAGTCTGCTAAACTAAGGCTGATTAGTTTGTGGTGATGAAGTTGTAGTTGAAGACAGTGGCAGTTGGAAAGAAAAGGCGATAAACATGAGAGTTATTGTAATGAAAAGAGAAATTTTTAATTAGTCGAATAACTTAATTTTAAAAATGAATGCTTTCTTCCACTTTAATGTTAAAGGAGACATTATATACCAAGACCTTCCTTTCGCCATGTGTTAGCTCCGAGAGTTTGTTGATAGAGCTACCTAGCATCTCTAGTAAGCAGGCACTTTCTGACATTCTGTTAAGGTACTAGAATCACCTGACAAAAGGTAAGTCAGGCAGGTGAGGAACCTTCTCAAGTCTGGCTGTGTGAGGTGGAGGTGCCTCCAGGTGTGGTGAGTGGGAAGAAAGGTAGCTTTTACCGTTGTCTCTGAGTAGGGAAAATGCTAAAGAGTGGATGGGAGAAACTGCCAGCACCTAAGGCTGGCTGCTGATGCCATGACTGTGCCTGTGCAATGCTGGCATTAGTTCAGTGAGAAGATAAAGCCAAAAATCTCCAGGGCTTTACTGGATTTGGCCTGCTTAGAACTAAGCAATGAATGGCTCTTTGCCTTTTGGTGAGAGAAGCTCCAAGAGCATGGATTCTTGGTAAATGTTTTCTATTGTTGCTGTTGACACAACTAAAAAAACAAAACAAAATAACACACAAAAAACCCCCAAACCAAAACCAATCCAACTCCCCAGGTTGTTATGACCAAGGTTGAGCCATTCTTCTCCTTTGGGAATTCTGAGACCTGACTGTACTGGTCAGCTTTTGAGTCATGCTTTTCTAGCTTCATGAGAAGCAGGAAGGAGGAAGACGAAGAGTGCGGGTGGGGGGAAGACATACTTTCATCTTCATACAAAGATGCCGGATTTTTTCTGTGGATGATCCCAAATTCTTAAGTGATTTTTGCCTTTGGTTGCTTTTAAGCTGTAGGCGAGGGGGAAATGAGACAACTATAGTAAATGAGGAAACCTCACCCTGCCACCACCGGTGCAGGGAGAGTTACTGCGTGTACCTGGCACTACTTAGAGTGTCACAGCAGAGACAGAGAAATGGCTCACCTTTTCCTGCCACCCCCCCCAATTTACCAACCTATTTCGTCAAGTATAAACATTGTCTGTGAGAAAGAAGATCTGTTTTCTAGAAACAGAATATGGCAAGTAGGCTAAAATATTTTTCAGGTTTGGATTGAACTAACACGGTGTGCCTGGTTGCTGTAAGTCAGACATTACTGTAGATGTAGAAAGAGACATCATTTTCTTATCCAGTGAATAAACTCAGGGCCTAGAGAGAAGAATGACATGAAATTGTAGTGAGTTTGTTCATTGTAGACATTACTAGGGTTCTTCTTCAGTTGAGGTTGTGGAGGTAGCTTGCAGGCTTAATGCATTGCCCCGGAGGTAAAGCAGAGGGATAAAGAAAGATACAGGAGGGTACAACAGGGAAGTTAAGGTACTCTCTAGTCCTGTTACTATATTCTTCTCATTTCTTCAGGTATGAATGACG